CTATAGACACCGTGCAGCCGCTGGAAAACAGCGCACCGTAGTGGTGAATGCACGCAACTTTTGTATGATAATTAAATAATTTACCATGGTTATTTATATTAATTATTATTAAAAAACTTATATTTATTTTTGTTATGTTTTTCATAATCACTAGTCAGTCACTACGAAATATATCAATGGGTGGATTATAAGTGGTTTATAAATTGTTGGACTATTTAATATGATAAAATGATAAGATTTGAGATTTCTACTACATAATGATTCAACCAGATATCATCTTTAACTGTGGCTTTAGAACCATTACATACAACTGTGAATTTAAAAATAATAAAGGCGTTAAGTTGTTCGAAAGTGGTCATGTGCACAAAGTATCTGAAGTACAGCAGCCAAATGGATATGGTACCATCAATGGTTATGTTATTAGGCAGACATCAGTCACTCTGCCACCTTATAAAGTTACATTTGAAGTAGGTACAAAAATCAAATGTAAAAAAGTAACTAGTCTAATTCTTAAATTGTATTTATAGATAGATCCCTTTAGGAATGTAACTCATTGTTTTTGCGAATGTCCTGCTGGAGCTGGAAATAAGTGTAAGCACATTGCTGCACTTGTTTATTATATAAATAATGAAGAGAGTAATTCAAAAACAAATGTAGAACAAGAATGGGGAAAGCCTTCAAAATCAGGGGAAGCCAAGTACAAAAAAGGCAGAACCATCGAATATCTATATCCTAAAAAGAAACAACATTATTCTAAATCTGAAAGTAATACAACTAACAGAACTATTAGTCATAAGGCACTTGTGAATGAATGTAAAATATTAGAAATTCCTTGTATTCTCAGTAAAATGATTGAAAAAGAAATACAAAGTGAGGCTGATATTGAGTGTCAGAGATGTTTATTAGATTTGTTAAATGAGGTAGAAAAGTCAGTAGACATTGATTTTTTAAACTTTATTCTCACCAAACAAAATGCATATGATATTGCCTTACCACCAATGATAGGTTCTTACTTTCCATTAAATTTAAATGAAAATAAATTTTATATGAATAATATTGTAGTTGATTTAAAACAAATTATAAACATATTTAACGAGACTAAAATGCAGTCTGAGAGTAACAAATGGAAAGAAGTTCGAAAAAATAGAATCTCAGCTAGCGTTAAAGCACATAAGATAAAAACTTGCAAAAATTTATCGGTTGAAAATCAAGAAAGGTTAGCAGAGACTTTACTAACAGAAAAAGAATTGGGTTATCAGGGAAAAATTAATGTGTCTTATGGTAACAAGTATGAGAGTGAAGCAATCATGTTTTATAGCAAAATGTTTAGTAATATAATTATTCTGAAGTGTGGAGTAATTGTTCATTCACAAAGGCCATGGCTTTGTGCAAGTCCTGATGGTCTTGTTATTGAAAACAAAGTTCCTATAAAAATTTTAGAAGTTAAATGTCCAATATCATGCCAAAATAAACCTATATTTGATCTAAAACAAAAAAAATGTAATTTGCCTTACTTAGAATATAAGAATAATAAATTTTTTTTAAAAACAACACATCAATATTATACTCAGTGCCAAATTTTAATGTATTGCACTGGTATAAGTCATTGTGATTTATTGGTGTACAATAAGATAGACCCACTAGTGATTACAATTGAGAAGAATATTTTATTTTTACAAACCATTTTAAAAAGACTGGAATTTTTTTATTTTCATTTTTTCTTACCAAGATGTTTGCTTGAATAAAGATTTTATTAAGTTGTTCTTTGATTTATAAAACCTATTGTACCTGTTGAACATTCAATATTATATAAATAAGATACACTTGTTGTTGTGTTACATAATTTTTAATATTAATAATAATATTTTACATTGTAATAGTTTTAAAGAATTTGTTAATTAAGAATTATATGATTAAAAAATAAATGTTACATTGTTAATCTTTAATTATAGGGTTTTGTAAATTAATTAACACACAACATATATGCATAATATCATCAACTTGGGGTAACAAATCTATAGTTATTTTATTTAAAATTCCCAAAGTTTTTAATTTGGCAAAAACCCTTTCAATGTGGATTCTCACACTAGCAATATTGTATGTTTCAACTACTTCATTTTCACTAAATCTCCCATTATGAAGAAAAGGAGGCATTATTAAAATACTGTTTTTATTTTCACAAGAGACCTTAATACCTGGAAAACCTTTATCTGCCAAAACTTCATCTCCTTTTTCAAGTTTTGATAAAAAACCACAGTCATTGGTGATAAATGTGTCGCTTGCTCTACCCCCATAACATTTTGATAAAAATGAAATTAAACCACTAGGAGTAATTGCTACTAGAGTTTTTACTGTGTAAGCATTTTTATACCTTGAATACATGTTAACTCTTTGCTCAACTGTACTTGGTTGCTCAGTTTTTATCTCTGTACAATCAATAATACAGCGGCAGTTAGGATAATTTTGCTTAAAAGCTCTTGGTAAAGTATCTAAAATTGATTTTTTGTTGGGCCAAAAGATAAAATGTTTTGTTTTGCTAACTAAAGAATTTAGAACAGAATAAAATATTCTTGACACAGTCGTACGATTAATATTAAATAATACTCCAATAGCTGAATATGATATACCCAATTTAATTTTGATAAGAAAAATCATTAATCTATTTTCTTTACTCACAGCACTATAACAAGAATCAGAGATAAATGAAAGTAACAAGTTAAAAACTTTAAATGTAGTACTGGTTAAGTCTTTTAATTGTGACTCGTTAGTTATAGAATGATATCCTAAAAAAGAATTCATGTTTAAACAAGATACATCTGGACCACAAGCAATGTCTTTAGTATTAGAAATTTTAGAAATATTATTTAATAATGGGATATTTGCTTGAGTTCCAACATCATTATTCAATTTATTAAATTCGCATTCAAATGTAAAGGGATTTGTATTGTTAAAATCAAACATAACTTGAATTCCCACATTA